GCCTTCAACGCAGCCTCGCCGGGTCATCAACACCATTGCTGGCGGCTTCGCTAGCGGCGGTTCGTCTTCGTCGGTGCAGCGTAGACACCTACGGGCCGTTCGACATGTGCATGCCGTTGAAACTGTTCGTCGCCGCCTACCCACCATAACTTTCACCGATCATAAAAAAAAAACATGAGGGGTTTTCAAACAACTATTCATGTGTGTATCAACATGTAAGTTAAAAACGGCGAAAAGCAATTTCCACAACTACTATCAACAGCATCTAGTCTGATTGAGATTCACAGATGAAAAAAGGTGTCCAGCAACATAAATCTTACTAGTTCCTGATTCAACATGAATTCATCTTATTCCATGTGCATTTGACAAGCCATATACATCAAGACAACAACAACCACCAAACATTTCCCACTAAGTGAGGATAACCACATCAGATCAAATAAGACCATAATATTTTATTATGAATCATATTTACAAACAAATAAATCATTGGCCTCTAAATATTTCTTAATGGTTTTGCTTATTCTTTTCTTGATCTCTCTCTTCCTCTAGATATAGGGTACCCTCCATCTAATCTATTCTCCTTATTTAAGCTTCTTCAAGTCATCTCTACACATGTCCAAACTATCTAAGGCAAACTTCTACCATTTTGTCTATGGTAGGTATTACCCTTACCCCAACTTTCCCTCTAATTCATTCATGCCTAAATTTTGTCTAGTATGACCACTCGTGAAACACAACATTTTAATCTCTACTACATCGAGTCTATTCTCTTGTTAGCTTTTTACCACCCAATACTCGGTTGTACACAACACTGCGATTCTTATAGCCATGCAATCATTTTTTTCCTCAAGTTTGAACCATATCTATCTTACTTTTGAATTTACACGCAGTTGTCTATTTCATGAAATTCAGTGTTAAGTAGCATATCATGCAAATCACATCCCCATAAGTGCAACTTGAGGGAAATTACATTTGTGAAAGAGAAACCTTAGTTTACTCAAACAAAAAACCTCAAGATGATGGCACAAAAGAACATGGTTTTGTGACTTGGATTTTGAAGCATCATATATGAAAAAGGGTTGCAGACTATAAACTAGTATTACTGACATGATGGAAATGAACAAGAAAGTGCATTATAGTTGATAAGGCTACAAATACAGTGAACCACAATATACAGGTAATGAACCTCGGGTGAAAGAATAGTAAACAAAACCTAAAGAAAATCAAGCAAGGGAGAACATACAAAGAGAAGGTTCAGAACAACAAGCAAGTAAATCAGTGTGCCAATCCTCCTGCTGATATGAACCTCCAGTTGATACCAGATCCTTTTGTGCGACTGAATATCTGTTTGACATCAATATAAGTAAAAAATCACAAAGGTAAAGACAGATAAACTAATTAAAAATAGTTATTGGCTGCATTCCAATGGAATAAAGGGATGGAAGCAGGAACTTCAAGCTTTTAGAATTAGAATAGCTAAAACTAAGGGTAAACTTTTGACTTCCTAGATGAGAGAAGGGTATAGTCAAAGAATTCAAATTTCACATAAATATTTCGACATTTGGACAACTAGTTATCCTGATTGAACCTAAACACATTGAAGTTGAGGAAGAGAGAAATAAATCACCTTGCCGGTGAATGCTTGTCAACTTTTGCATTGTATTTTTCATCAGATGAATGGTCCTTGTCACCGTTGGCATCAGAGTAACTGTATTCCTCTTTCTTGTGATTTTTCTCCGCCAAACACTTCTCTGGAACAGAATAAGCTGCAACTTCTGTGACATCTAATAAACGTTGAATGACTTCACACTGATTCATATCCAAATTTGCTTGTGACCGCTGTAGCTCTAGTTTAAGCTTTTCATTTTCTTTTTTAAGTGCTTCAGTGAAAGAACAGTTAGGGTATGAACAAGATAGTGTTTTCTTCAACACAGCAGTGTCATCTTTGTCAGGCTCAGGTTTAAAAATAACTGTCTGTGCCTTTTGGTCCTCATCATCCAATGTGTATTCACGTTGATCCATTTCAATAACTTCAAGTCTCTCCTGAATATTCCAGAGCATGAAAGAAGTAATAGATTGTTAACCATACATTCAGACCAAATTTACAAACACAGATGCTACCATTAAAATGACAATATAAACCAGGTCAAAATCCTCATAAATATTGGGAATGCGCAAAATCCAGAAACAAAATGCTGCAACTTGCACAACAGCCAGACACATAGACATTCATCTGTATTCTCTCACAAAAACACGAGAAGAGGAACAGGGAGTTTATTAATTGGTCGATGGCTTACAACATAGGCTACTGCCTTTTTTATAGTGTTGCTGATTGAAAACTAAGGTAAAAGTAAAAGAAATACCCAACTCTGTTTACAGGATCAAAATGAAGCAGCTAAACCTTATGGGCTAGGTAGCAAATAGTACAACACAAATGACAAAACATCAAGGGATGTAGTGATAGGATCAAACTAAATGGATCCTTAAGAAGACATATTCAAACTAATTTTCCATAGATTTAAGCATACAAGTTGCATATCAAACTAAACCATTTAATATGGTTAACTGGCTGTACGCTGTACATATTCAGTACATGCAACTAACTAGGGTGGGACCCAAATTTTCACAAGCCAAAATTTCAAACTTTCAGTGCAAATACACTACAATATTTCAGAGAGGTAACTGAAACAATCAATAACAACTAATCTGGGGTATCTAGCAAAATATGGACCATGCTGGATAAAATGTTTAGGACAACACTGAAGATGTGAGTAACCCCTTTTTAATAGCCTCAAACTAAACCACTGTACAATGTTGAAGCTGACAAGAACATGCAACAAGTGTTGAAAACCTTGAAATCAAGATTATTATTATAAGCTAAGATGGCTAAGTAAACAATATAGACATAGATTTGAAGGGGAATACAACTCTGGCATGATTGATCAGTAGCTTCCTAGAAGTTAAAAGAGTAATTCCAATAAGTAAAAAAACATTAACTTTTTCCTCTATCATTTTTTAGGTGATCAACAATACAAAGACCATTCACAACAAGAGATAGCATACAATTGAGCACGGCAAAGTAATACCCTGACTCGAGCATTGTCCACAAGAGTAATGAGAGGAACAAGACGCAGGTATCTGTCAATCTCATTCTGAGCCTTCCTGAACTGGTAAACAATGTTCCATCCCATAGCCAGCAAATAAAGGTAACTCCGGTCCTGACAACTATTGACCAATATGTAAGACCTTCTGAGCGCATCTTCCAGCTGCTCTAGAGGCTCCCTAGTTTCTGGGTACTTCTTCAGCTCCGAGATCTTGAGCTGCTCCAGCAAGTTCCCAATCAACTTCAGATGCTGAGCAAACTGCCGGCAGTTTTTCTTATGCATCCGCGCAGTGCTGGCAGCTCTCACAATCATCCCAATCAGCCGCACAGCATCCACGCCAGTCAACTGCGCCACATTTGCAAGCTCCCCCATTTGATCCCATGAAGCCATGCTCTCAACAAATCAACCTAAAAATCCAGCCACATCAGCTCAGAACACCAATTTCCAAAACTCCATTTTAATCCTTAATAATTTCATCAAGAAATAGCAATAAATAATAATGATGATTATAAAATAAAATAAAATAAAATAAAATGTCAGAAAAATTAGAATAAATTATAATGATCATTATATAAATAAAAAAAATAATGCACCCTGAACACACATGCATAAAAATTATCCATACCTTGTAAGAAAATAGAGGCTGCTCCACTCGCACGACACAAGACAAAGTGAAGCAGAGAAATCTCAACAGTAGAATAATATTTCAGGCCGGATCAAGCATTCCTCAGAAAAATGTCTCTCAGAGATAGCATTGCCGTTGAAGATCTTGGATATTCAGGGACAAAGACACTGCAAAATTAGCAAATGCAATTAAATCGGTCAACAAAATAAATAAACCGAAAGAAAAAAAAACAAAAAATCTTGACACTGAAGAAATCTAAAGTCACTGCATCCATGCATGAAATCTATAATCTATAATTAAAATACAACCAAATCCGGTTTAATCTCTCTGTTTAGTTATTTATTAACATTTAAAAAAAGTCGAGAAGCGTGATAAATGCAGGATTAAACAGTTTTACCTAAACAAGGAAATGAAAAGAATCGATGAGACGCTACAGAAAAATGCATAAGCAGTGGTTGTTATAGGAGGCTCGTGATACTTACGTAAAAGAGACATGCGGAGAAAGGGAAAAGGAGCATAGAATTCAGGTGATTGCAGGCATTGCTTTGCGCGAAGGAGCTCTAGTCCTTGTATATCACTCTTTGTCTCTCTCTCTCTCTCTCTTGCTCTTATCGCTCACAGTTTTCGGTTCGGTGGTGTTCTGTGCAGAGTGGAGCTTGGCCGCATGTGATGTGCACCTCCCACTACGCAAAAACCCTCCGTTTTGAGTGTTATTACGGCAATGCCACTCCGTTTCACGGACTGTCACACTGTAACGGCGTGACACGGAGAGGTTGACCCTTCCAGAAGGAGTTTTTTAATGGCGTGCCAGCTGGCACTTCTAGTGTGAGCTTGCTTGCCAACAAATGAAACGCACTACTTACCAAAGTGTAGTGTAGTGTAGCTAGCATAGGTAAAGGGCGTAGCTTAGGGATACAAAATTCATGTAGTAATATAAAAATCTAAGAAGCGGTTACGGTTTTGGATGGACCCGTCAATTAAAAATAATTATAAAAAAAATGGTGTTTTAATTATAATGTGATTAATGAAATATTAAAATAAATGGAGGACTGTCTCTAACTCTAGGGTCGTGTCAATGAGATTCTTGCAAAAGAGGAGTGATTGATGAGGAAAAAGAATGGTTGGTTGGTTGGATTGGAAGTTGAGAGGTTGAAAAGGAAAAGGAAAAGGGAAAAGAAAAAAAAAA